CACACTAAGAGAAAATGCAATGTGATAAAGATTGAAACGATGAAAGGAAATATAATTTAGCAATAGAATCTAATGTAATCAAATGTAATGAAATATGAGTGAAATAAAGAAGAGACCTCAACAAAATGACGACCAACTAGGAAATTAAAATGAATTGGCTGAAATGTAATGAACTTAAAATATATATGAAATAAAACAATGGAATGAGAGGAAATGCAATTTAATGAACGAAGTTCAATGGACTTGTAATAAAGTAATGAAATGTAATTGGTTCAAAGAAATGATGTTGAAGTCAAATAATAAGAACCATCAAAGAAGAAGATATCTGAAGTTTCAGTTACAAAACATATTATGTAAAGCAGCTTAAACAGTACTTGTAGATGAAAACGAACCAGGTTTAGAAAAAAAAAGAAAAACGAAGAAGAAGAAGAAGAAGAAGAAGAAGAAGAAGAAGAAGAAGAAGAAGAAGAAGAAGAGAAAAAAGGAAAAATGTCCTTGATTATGCAGTGTTCCAGAAGAAAAGGACACAATCAGAACTTTCAGTGTGACCACAAAAGTTAATGAAAGTTTAAACTTGCACCTGGGATATGGTCCCCTAAACTTACCCCGAGCTGCAGGTGACTGTTTCATCAGGAGATTGACAGTTTCTACTGCAGGTCAGGCTCCTAAATCGGAAACCGGTCTTCACAGAGATTTGACACAGTTGCTATTTAAACTCGGTTTTTGCCCGCAGTTGCCATTTGAAAGCCAAGTCCTTTCATTGCTTAGCCTAGCAGGTGCAGGTTGTCTTTCAGAAGGCAAGCTGTTTGCTCAATCAGTCAGCCTCAGGTGCGGCTGGTTCCCGAATTCGCTGTCTGATACATAGGGGGTGAAGTTGTGCGACTTCGCCGGTTTATTTTGGGCAGCAAGGCTTGATTTCAGGCTTTCAAACGATATAATTAAATCGTTTTCTTCTGGAGTTTGCCAACAGCCTTAGACACATGGCTAGCCATGGGGCAGCCAGTGCAGCAGAGCTCCACCTCTAGACTAAATGATGACAGCCCAGGGACCAAAGCAGGCTCTGCCTCACTCTACCCAAACTGTTAAGCAAGCTCTGTTGTTCTGAACTTGATTAAGACTGAGAAATACTATCGCCGAGAAACCGTCGAAGATTTTACAGCAGCCTGGCTCAAGCCGCTTCTACCTCTTACCCAAATTGCTAACTATACCTGACCTTTTGTGCTAAATGTTATAAGAAATAACAATTATAACCGAGAAACTGTATAAAAAGAAACTACTGAATAATCTATTTAAGAAGAATTGACAGCAGCCTGGCTGCGGCTGACTCTACCTCATTATAAGCTAATTGTTAAAAAAAATTGTTGCTATCATAAATTATTTAAGACTAAAAACAAACAAACAAACAAACAAAAAACTGTTGACGAGAAACAGCTTGAGACGCCTCTATAAAACTCTGTATCTACACAAGTCCTCCTTCTGGGAGTTGGGTTTGTGCCATGGAACCTAATGTGTGGTCTGGGCTTGTGAGAGAGGCTAGGGATGCCTCGCGAGGGCAGTCTTGGCGCATGCCTTGCTTCTGGCCATGAGAGACTCCTCTCCTGGTGAAGGCTGTGCTTTCTGTGGGGAAGCTCTTCCTTGGCAGGTGGCAGGCTTGGGTGGATCGCCCTGGAACCATGATTCCGGCAGAGGGCAGTGCAAGCCTGGAAGCTGCTCCCCTGCCTTCAGTGTGGGAAACCAGAAACCAGAGGCTCTGGTGAAAGAGGAAGACCTGCCTGAGGCACCAGCATTCTGGCTAGTGCTGCAGCAGCCCCCATGCCTCTTGAACCCCTTGGGTCCCCAGCCGGGTGCTCCACAGCAGGAAGCCCAGACCTCCGACCCAGAGCGCCTAAGCCAGTGCGGTCTGCTTGTAGCCTCCAACTGGTGGAGAAGAGGCTCTGCTTTGAGGGGCTTTCTGGAATGCATTGGTTCTTGCCCAGTGTTCCTCTTCCCACCTGTCTGCTGTCCTTCAGTCTTTGGCACCAGTGAGCCTTAGAAATAGCAGGCGCCTTTGGGCTGCTGCTCCCTGCAAGCAAGCATGCTTCCTTTCTCAACGCAGCAAGCTTCAAAATAAAAATATACTCACAACTGCCTAACGTTTCTGGTCAATTGTGCAGTTCTTTTATGCTAAAGTGTCCTTTACTGACAGAGCTGGGTGCTATGGTGCAGAACTTTCCTCCCAGCACTCTACCTGCAGAGGGAGGAGGAGGCTGGCTGCAAAGTCCAAGTCAGGCCCTTCAGCTCACCCAGTATCAGGCTTGGCACATCCACCCTTGGATTCCCTATGGTAAATATATTCTTAAAATGTGATATATGGGGCTGGAGAGATGTCTCAGTGGTGAGAAGCACTGTCTGTTCTTCCAGACGACTTGGGCTCAGTAGCCACAAAGCAATTCACAACTGACTGCAACTTCTGTTCCAGGAGATAAAAAAAAAAAAAAAAAAAAAAAAAAAAAAAAAAAGAAAGAAAGAAAAGAAATAACATACTGAAATTAATGACAAGTCATGAAATATCGTGATGTGCCAGGAAATAACGAAAATAAATGATAAAAGCATGATGACATGATTTCTTGTGTGATATAAAAATAAAGCAAAATGTAACAATGGAATAATAAGAATATAAAATGAAATTTTGTGACAACAAAATAAGAAGAAACAAGGCAAAATACCAAGGAAGACGTGAAATCATTACATGGGATATAATGTGTGAAATTATGAAATGAGAATAATACATGATATTTAACATTATAAAAAATAATGAAAAATATGATAATCAATGAGATGATGAAGAGGCAAAACGGAGTGATGGGGAAATGACCTGCAATGCAGCAAAAAACCAAAGAATTGATGTTTTTATAAAATAATGGAACAAAATGAATCCATGTTTGAAATAAATTTTATAATTTCATGTTAAAATCAGATAATACATACTAAATGAAATGAAATGGAAGGCGTCAAGTAAAATTAATTAAAAATATATAAAATAGGGGCTGGAGAGATGGCTCAGAGGTTAAGAGCACTGGCTGTTCTTCCAGAGTTCCTGAGTTCAATTCCCAGCAGCCTCATGGTGGCTCAAAACCATCCCTTATGAGGTCTGGTGTCCTCTTCTGGTGTGCAGATATACATGGAAGCAGAATGTTGTATATATATATATTTATAGTAATGGAATGCAATATTGGCATGAGGATGAGCTTGAATGAGAAGCTGAGATGGAATGATAATGAGTTGGATCAAGTTTCATGGAATGAAATTAATTTCATCCAGTCATGTATAATAATATGTAACTGAATGTGATAAGAAGAAATGAAGTGTTGATATGACGAGTAATAAAGAAATGATGAGAGCCTGGCGTTGGTGGCACACGCCTTTAATCCCAGCACTCGGGAGGCAGAGTCAGGCAGATCTCTGTGAGTTTGAGACCAGTCTCGTCTCAAGAGCTAGTGCCAGGATAGACTCCAAAGCTACACAGAGAAACCCTGTCTCAAAAAACTAAAGAAAAAAACAAGAAAGAAAGAAAAGAAATGATGAAAAGTGATATAAGGCTTATAAAAAAAATGTCATGGCATGTGATCATGAAAAGATATAAAACAATAAAATAAAATGAAATGACGTTAAAATAATAAATTTGAAATTTTATCAATGAACTCAAATTTGAGTGAAATATTGAAATGAAATTGGAGGCAAAATAAAATGTGATATAACCAAATATCTTTTTATTATTAATTTTATTTAAATTAAAAACAATCTTATTTTACTTACAAATCCCAGTTCCCTCTCCCTCCATCCTCCATTACTCCCCACCAACCCCCCCATGCTAACTCTCATACATTGCCCAGGGAGAGTGAGGCCTCCTGTGGGGAATGGTCAAAGTCTGTCACATTTTGGGGGCTGGAACTAGGCCCTCCCCTGTGTAGCCCTCCATATAGGGAATGGGCTCCCAAAGCCCATTGGTGCGCTATGGGTAAATACTGGTTCCATTGCCAGAGGCCCCATGAACTACCCACATTTATGGGGCCTGTTTCTGTCCTATGCTCAATCCCCAGCTGTCAGACTGGGCTCCATGAGCTCCCACTTGCTCAGGTCAGATGTTTCTGTGGGTTTCCCCAGCATGGTCTTGACCCCTTTGCTCATCACTCCTCTCTCTCTACAATTGGAGCCCAACAGTTCAGTCACTGTTTAACTGTGAATCTCTGCTTCTGCTTCCATCAGCTACTGGGTGAAAGCTCTATGAAGGCATTTAAGATAACAAATATTGGGGCTAGAGACATGGCTCACTGGTTAACAGCACTGGCTGTTCTTCCAGAGGATATGGGTTGAATTCCCAGCACCCACATGACAGCACATAACTGTCTGTAACTCCAGTTCCAGGAAATCTGACACCTTCACACTAATGCACATAAAAAAAATTAAATAAACTAGTTTTTTTAAAAAAGATAACCAAATATCTTGAAGTCATAAAATGATAAGGTGAAATGAAAAACACTTGTAATCAAAATCAATCACTAAAAGGAAAAAACTCTAAAATATGGATTTTATTAAATAATGGAAGGAAATTAAACTATGAACAATAACTAGTATATGAAAAACTGGGCAGAAATATAATGAATGACATGAGAAACATGAAACAACACAAATGATGGAAGGAAATGAAATGGAAAGTTGAAATGAAATTTAATAATTGCAATTATATGTATTGTAATGAAGTGTAATGACCTGAAATAATCAGGTGGTGCTGAGAAGAAATAATGAATTGTTATATTATTATGACATGGAATAAAATAATGAAAGCAGTTGTAATTGAAGGTGATGCAATACCACCAAGTAAAATGAAATCATATAAAAAGAAGACAAATATTGAAAGAAGTGTTGAGAAATGAACATACAGAATGAACTGATGAGACATGAAATACTGAAACGAAGAAATGAAAGGGAGTCATGGAAGGATGATGGTGTGATGCAATGAGTGATGGAGATAAAATGAAATCACTTGAAATGATCCAATGACTGGAATAGTGCTGTGACGTTGTGAGATGAAACGCAAGGCAATAAAAAGTAAAATAAATGAAATACAATGTAATGCAATGGACTGTAACAATCAAGTGAAATGAAATATTAAATTGATGAAATGAGTCAATGAAAAGAAGGTAAATAGAGCGAAGATCAAATAACAAAACAAATTTAAATTTAAATGACATATGACATATGGAAAGGGTTTGAAACAGGGAACTGAAATTAGGTGAGTGACTGTGATGAACAAAAATGGACCGAAATGAAAAAATGAAAATGATAGGATGAAATTAAATGTAATGAATCAATTAGTTTTCAGGAAGACAAATATGAAAAGTAATGAGCTGACATATCGAGGGGATGACAAAAGGAGATGGTGAAATGGAATGGGCTTATGACATGGAATTACAATTATGAAATGGGGCAGGTGCTGTGGCATCCTTTAATTCCAGCTTCGGGGAGGCAGAGGCAAGTGGATCTCAAATTTGGAAGCCAACAGGGACTGCAGAGGGAGTTCCAGGGCAACCAGGTGTCAACACATAAATCCTGTTGAGAAATGGAATTAATAAATAAATTAATTAATTAATAATATCGAACTGCAGTGTTTGCTTGTCTAGTTACTCCAGGAAAGTTCAATTATTCAAATAAAATGAAATGTATCAAATGAGATAAAGAGAAACATTGAAATGATGACAAGAATGAAATAGCGTACTGCACTGAACAGACATGACATGAAATGAGGAAAATAAGCTATAAAAGGTGCAATTTATGATGGAGGTAGTGACATTAATGAACCAAAAAGAGAAAATAAAATGACACAACTAAGATGATAAAATTAAATGGCTGTATAAATTTAATCTAATGCTTGGCAATTGAATGTTATATAATGACATGAAACAACGAGATTATCATGTTCTCTGAGAGGAAATCCTGACTTGCAATTAAAATAATGAAGTGGGTTGAGATGGGATGTAAAATCATGTCATGACCTGAAATATCATGTAAGTAACATGATGCAATGAAATGACATGATTTCATCAAACAGTGAAAACACAGGAAGTGATCTGGTGAAATGAAATAATGGACTAAAATGAACTGATACAGCATGAATCAATGATGTGATGAAAGGTTATGGCGTGTTATATCGAGTGACATGAAACTGGGTGATACTTAATGAATACATGACACACAATGAAACGGTGTTATGGCAAAATAACATGGAAGGAACACAAGGCAATAAAGAACTGAAGTAATGAAAAGAAATATATGTAAATTAAAAATATTGAATTACAACACATGCAGTGAAAAGGGAAAGCAATGAAATGAAATAATGAAGAGACTCAAAACAAAATGGTGGTCAAAATAAAGGTCCTTGAAATAAAAAAATGAAATGGTGATTTTATGAAATAATGAATGAAAAAAGAGCATTGAAATGAAACCCATATATTACTGTAATGAAATAACATGGACTCAAAATACTGAAATAAAATAATGAAATGGACAACTGAAATAAAATTTAATGAATGAAATTAAAT